GGAATACCCTCCAGGTAGACTCCATTTAGGTAGACCCCTCTCAAAAAAATTTTACCCAAATTACTTTAAGAGCGATTAGTAACTTGTAGGTTTAGCACTTCTTTTTGATTATAATAATAATAATAATAATAATAACTAGTATTATCAATTATAATTTACATACAGTAGACCATCATTTAGCACGAGTTTATTTGGCACGATTTGGGTATTGCACAATGGAAGAATTGCGGCACAATTTTATGTAACACGTCATATAATTAATATAACACGGTTCAGTTTGTGGGAAGGAAAAAAAAATTCTCTTTTGCTCAAGCGGCCACCTTGTTGTGGAGCAGCCAGGGAGCCCTCCCGCCATCCCCTGCCACCCTTCGACACCACCCCACCATCCCAGCATTTGTAATTCATACGTGTCCAGTCTTTCTCTGCAACAAGGCAGCTGTGTTTGTGAATTGTGTTATGATATTTTAATTACTATATCTTGTATCTGCCAAGTAATCATGACACCCATCAGCCATACCAGTGTTGCTGAAAGTGGCACAAAGAGGTATAAGCACTTAAGTCTTAGAATTAACAAAGAAACAAAGATATTAGACAAGAGATAACCTGTAGCTGTAATAAAGTGTTACTTTGTACACAGAAAAAGAGGCAAACATGAGTTTGTATGACTGAATGACTGACTTATTGAATGACTGATTTACTGAATGACTTGACAGACTGAGTTATATGACTGACTGACTGAATGACTTACAAGTGACTTGACTGATTTACCGAGTAACTTGACTGACTTACTGAATGACTTGATGGAATTGCTAAGTGACTTACTGAATGACTTGACTGAGTGACTTGACTGACTTACTGAGTGATCTGACTGACTTACTGAATGACTTTGACTAAATATTCAGACTTAAAGTTAGACACTTCAGTACAACCATCAACTTCAGTACCAGAACCTCTACCATCCACCTCAGCCCAGTAGGGCTAACTAAATGACTTACTAACTAAATGACTGATTTACCGAGTAACTTGACTGACTTACTGAATGACTTGATGGAATTGCTAAGTGACTTACTGAATGACTTGACTGAGTGACTTGACTGACTTACTGAGTGACACACAAATAACCCGCACATAAAAGACAGAAGCTTACGACGACGTTTCGGTCCGACTTGGACCATTGACAAAGTCACACTAACAGAGGTGGAGCAGGACGGCTATATATAGGCAGGAAGAGGTGGAGGTAGTAGTAGTAGTGATGAAATTAGACACATGTGCGGCGTCTGGTTGTCTTTGTTGTGGACGTTTCGCCATCCAGTGGCTGGCTGGATGGCGAAACGTCTACGGTGGGGATGCCCGGGTGTTGTGCATGTGTCATTTCATCCTGTCCGTTTTATATACAATTCTTGTACTACTACACTACTACTACTATACTACTATACTACTCCCTCACCACATACTACTACCTCCACCTCTTCCTGCCTATATATAGCCGTCCTGCTCCACCTGTTAGTGTGACTTTGTCAATGGTCCAAGTCGGACCGAAACATCGTCGTAAGCTTCTGTCTTTTATGTGCGGGTTATTTGTGTATCGTTCCATTCACGGTATTGTGCCTTTGTTTACGAGTATACTTATTGACTGGTGACTGAACCGACTAACTGAAATTGATTGCTAAGTGACTTACTGAATGACTTGATGGAATTGCTAAGTGACTTACTGAATGACTTGATGGAATTGCTAAGTGACTTACTGAATGACTTGACTGAGTGACTTGACTGACTTACTGAGTGATCTGACTGACTTACTGAATGACTTTGACTAAATATTCAGACTTAAAGTTAGACACTTCAGTACAACCATCAACTTCAGTACCAGAACCTCTACCATCCACCTCAGCCCAGTAGGGCCACAGCATAACTCTCCACTCTCTTCACAATCATCCACAAACACCAGCACCCACAATTTAATGTAAATACTATTATTTCTGTTACATTTGTAGTCTTCAGCAGTAAAAACAACATAATACATCACAGCAATGAACTACAACTACATATTCACTTTTATTTTTGTAAGACGTGGAGGCCTAAAAAAAAGTTGTTTGCTTTTTGGGGGCTCCAAGGAACGTAACCCCATTTTTCCCATAAGGTTTTAAGTTCATCTAACACGATTTTACCTACCACGGCATTTTCAGGAAAGTAACTACCGTGCTAAATAACGGTCTACTGTATTACTAGTTTGTAATAAGCAAACCAACTTCAGGAGTTGTAAATAATTGTAAAGTAGCCATCTGTAAACAACAGGTAGTTATGTTTGTTTTTGTGGTTGGTGGCAGTGGAGCAGACAATAAACTGCACAAGTTCTCGTCTCTCAGCTACGGTCTGCACATTACCAACCAGTCACTGGCTCATTATGATTTTGAAGCAAGTACTTCATTTTTTGTTTTCCCCTGAATATGACTGCCAAATTTTGGGTGAGTCTTATTTGCTCAGCCTGACTCAAGTCCCACCATTATTGTACAAATGAGTGGCTCATGTCCTTTTGCCTGTTATTTGATTACTCTCTAACAAGTCACTAGAAACTAGCACTTTCCCGACACTGCTCAAGATAGCAAGGGTTACACCAACACACAAAGGTGGTGACCTCACAGACGTAAACAACTACAGCCCAATATCAAACTTACCGTTGCTATCCAAAATCTTTGAGAAACTCGTGCACAAGATATTATATTCCTTTATAACAGCTCAAAGCATCCTCAACCCCTGCCAATTGAGCTTCAGGAAAAGCAAAAGCACAAATGACACAATTGTAAAAATGCTAGACCTGCTTTACACAGCACTGGAAAAAATTAATATCCATTAGGACTCCTTATCAACCTAAGGAAACCTTTTGATACTGTAGTCCACGGTATCTTACTCCACAAATTTGATCATTATGGTATAAGAGGCCATGCACTTAAATATTTCAAATCCTACCTTACTAACAGGCATCAATACATCTCTATGAAGGACACAACCTCATCAACTAGACCACTGGATACTGGAGTGCCACAAGGAAGTGTCCTTGGCCCCCTGCTCTTCCTCTGATATATCAATTATCTTCCTAATGTATCACAACACCTGAAACCTGAAGACACAACTTATGTCATCTCCCACCCTAATCTTGCCTCACTCATCACCATTGTTAACGAAGAGCTAGTAAAAATATCGACCTGGATGACTGCTAATAAACTTAAATTTAATGCTGACAAAATCTTCTATATTATGTTTCGGAACAGAGCAGGTGTTGCTCAGCTGAACATTATGATTGACAACACTCTCATTGCCAAACATAATGAGGGCAAATTCCTGAGCCTGCACCTTGACAGCAGCCTAAAATTCAACACCCATACACAACACGCAAAAAAAAGTATCCAAAACTGATGGCATCCTCTGCAAGATACGTTATTATGTACCGCAATCAGCCCTACTCACACTATACTATTCACTCGTCTATCCCTACCTCACCTATGCCATTTGTGCCTGGGGATCATTAGGAGGAACCGACTTAAAGCCAATAATAACCCAGCAAAAAGCCGCAGTAAGAACTATCACGCAATCCAATGCTAGCAAAAAACCCCACCCCACCCCCCCACTCTTCAAAGACCTTAACTTCTTGCTCACTGTATAGAACATTCACACCTACTACTGTGCAACCTACATTTACAGAACCATAAATTCTAATGTTAACCCTGAACTAAAACACTTTCTTGATAGTTGTGACAGGACCCATAGACACAATACCAAACACAAAAATCTCTGACATTCCCCGTGTCCAGCTAAATCTCTACAAAAATTCAGTGTACATAAAAGGGCCTAAAATCTGTAACTTCCTGCCTGAAAACTCGAACTACAGACTCAACCACCATTTTCAAAACTACCTTTAAAAAACATCTTATCTCCCTAACACACCCCATCATCAGTTAATTATATGAAAACCACCTGTTCTCTTTTTTGTATCATGCACACATCCAAAACAAAATAGATTTACTCTTGATATCTGTGAGTCCCCCTAATTCACACTTACACTTACCCAGATGATTGTAAACATAAAATTCCTAATACATATAGTTATTGCCTAATAAATCTTACGTTAGCCCTAAGATTGACTAAGATACTCTCCCAATATAGGTGCTTTAATAGAACAGTGTATCATGCCAAGACTTAACCATTCCCATTTCTAAAATTACTAATTGTAATATTGTTATATGTTTTGTACTACCTCATTATTATAAATCTAATTGGTCACTTCAGTTACCTAGTATACAGTAAGGTATATGAAAATGTACTGGTACATAACCTGTGTCAATACTGAGTAAGAATTAGGATTAGTCTGCCTGAAATGCCTAGACATGCTAGAGGCCTTCTTTGTTATTAATATTTTATAATATGTAAACCACGCATTGTAAGCTTTGCAAGGAAATAAAAATTTTTATTTCTCATTTTCATGTGCTTTATATGCCAGAAAATATGGTATATAATTTATATTTGTGTTTGGGGCTCATTTTTTTTAAATTGTTCAAATTTGGATGTTTTCAAGAAATCTTTCATGGATTTTTCATAACTGCTGGGTCTCTAGGAATGTTCATTTTTCTGGTAGGTATCTGGGATTTTTTGCAAATTCTGCAAAATACTCAGCATTGTTATTGTAGCATTCATTGGATTCTGTATCAGAGATTTTGAAGGATAATAAATCTGGAAGGAAACATTGGACTACCAACAACTCCAGGTTCACTAATATGCTTATAAAGTAACTGCTGGGCTAAAATTGTATTTTTTTTTCTTTTGGCAGTATTAACTGCACTAAATTTGATCCAACTATTTGTATTTTTTAATAAAAAAAAAAAGCTAGAAAATATATCTAAGCATGAAAGCTTATTATATATGTGTTGTACACTATTATAATTATATATTTTTACACTTTTTGTGCCTAATGTTTTCTTATTAATGTTTTAGAGTGTTTGGGGCAGTTGGGAGTCGTAGCCACCAAGGTAACACAGAGAACATAACTGTAGAAAAGAGATCCAAGCAACAATTAAAAATAATTTGGAAGAAGGCTGTTTTCCAACAGATGCTTCTAATGCGCTTTGAGAAAGAAAATCAGCGTCTAAGAGGGTAAATACATAAAATGTTTTTCACTATTAATATTGTACAGTATTTTTCTTTTGACAGCATTTATTGTTAAAAATATTGCGGGAGTAAAATCAGGACTTACTTTCACAACTTTCCAAGTTGCTCCTTTTATTGCCTAAACCATTACAAGGTATTATATATAATTGCCTGAAAACCTGTAAAAATGTATGTGTTGCTGCACTAATATAAGAACATACGAAAGAAGGAACACTGCAGCAGGCCTACTGGCCAGTGCAAGGCAGGTCCAAGTCATTTCTCGACTTAAACCAATGACCTGTCTAGTCAGGTCAGGTCAGGTCACATCCACTTAAGGAAGAGGTACAGCATCAGACCTATTAGCACAAGCTAGTCAGCTCCAACTCATACCCACCCACACCCACTCTTGTATTTATCCAACCTATTTTTAAAACTATACAATGTCTTAGCTTCTGTGATGGTACCTGGGAGTTTGTTCCATTCATCCACAACTCTGTTACCGAACCAGTGCTTTCCTATATCCTTCCTGAATCTGAATTTTTCCAGCTTGAAACCATTGCTGCGAGTCCTGTCTTGGGTAGATATTTTTACCATGCCATTTACATTCCCTTTATTTATTCCTGTTTTCCATTTATACACCTCAGTCATATCCCCCCTAATTCTACACTTGTCTAAAGAGTGCAGATTCAGGGCCCTCAGTCTGTCCTCATAGGGAAGATTTCTGATACCTGGGATCAACTTTGTCATCCTCCCTTGTACGTTTTCCAGTGCATTTATAACCATTCTGTAATACGGTGACCAAAACTGTGCAGCATAATCTAAGTGAGGCCTAACCAAAGATATATAGAGTTGAAGAACAACCTGAGGACTCCTATTATTTATGCTCCTTGATGTGAATCCAGATTCTGTTAGCTTGATTGTGAACACTTGTGCACTGTTGTCTTGGTTTTAGATTACTGCTAACCAGAACTCCCAAGTCTTTTTTGCAATCAGCAATATTAAGATCTACATTATTTAGTTTATATGTGGCATGGTTATTTTCTTGTCCAGTGTTTAGAACTTTGCATTTGTCTATAATAAACTGCATCTGCCACTTCTCTGACCACTGCATCAGTCTATTCAAATTTTCCTGGAGTGCTCTAATGTCCTCATTAGAATGAATTAAGCGACCTATTTTGGTGTCATCAACAAACTTACTTATGTTGCTATTTATTCCCTCATCAATTTTGTTTATATAAATTGTGAACAACAAAGGGCCCAACACTGACTCTCTACTGCCTATCTATCAACCACGCCTCTACCCAGGAAAAAATTTCTCCTCCTATTCTGTATGCCTTAATTTTCCTCAATAGTTTCTGATGTGCAACTCTATCAGAAGCCTTACTGAAGTCCATATACACAATATCATATTCATTACCATGATCTACCTCCTCATATACCTTGGTGAAAAAAGTTAGTAAATTTATAAGGCAGGAATGCCCCTTTGTAAAACCATGCTGAGATTCATTAATCAGTTTATGCCTTTCAAGATGGCTACAAATTGCCTCGGCAATTATTGATTTCATAAATTTTCCGATCTGTGGAGGTAAGGCTTATTGGTCTATAGTTCGAAACTAAGGACCTGTCTCATGCTTTGTAAATAGGTATTACATTTGCCATTTTCCATTTGTCTGGCACCTTGCCAGTTTGTAGTGATATGTTGAAAAGACTAGCCAAAGGTTTGCTAAGCTCCTCTTTACATTCCTTTAACCCTTTGAGGGTCGAGACCCCCCCCATCCTAAAATCGTTTTCAGTGTCGAAAAATATTAGAAAAAAAAATTATTTTTTCTTATGAAATGATAGAGAATGTTTTTGTGAGTGTTATAGGTCAAATACCGGTTACTCATTAATTGTTTATTTATTTTTTCTACTTTATTTTCCAACATTTTACTTTTTCAAGTAACTTTTATGGCCTTCGAGACCAATATAAACCATACTGTATTTTGTATACTATATTCACTCGTTGTATGCTACACAATAACTACTCAAACATTGTTGTCATTATATTGTTTACAAAACATGTTTACACAAACGAGCAATAAAAAATGTTGTTTATTACTATTTTTCTATCATATATATATACACACATAGAATCACTGGACACATTCCTAGAACTGGTAGAGCTTCTGGAAGCTTGTTGTTGTGTGGGTGGACTTGTAAATATACTGAGTCACCGGTGTGGTTACTGTCACAATGACACATTACACCTTCACTCACTAACACTCACTGCCTTCCAGAATACACATGCCTTTCCCACCCCACCAACCCACATGGAAATAAGTCACTGTCTGACTTTTTTGGGTTATCCTAGGTTGCTGGTCGTCTGGGTCGTCCCTTCTTTCCTTCCTACCTTCCTTCCTACCTTCCTTCCTACCTTCCTTCCTACCTTCCTTCCTAATTTCCTTCCTACCTTCCTTCCTACCTTCCTTCCTACCTTCCTTCCTACCTTCCTTCCTACCTTCCTTCCTACCTACCTCTCCTACCTACCTACTTCCTACCTACCTTCCTACCTACCTTCCTACCTACCTTCCTTCCTACCTTCCTTCCTACCTTCCTTCCTACCTTCCTTCCTACCTTCCTTCCTACCTTCCTTCCTTCCTTCCTTCCTTCCTTCCTTACCTTCCTACCTTCCTTCCTACCTTCCTTCCTACCTTCCTTCCTACCTTCCTTCCTACCTTCCTTCCTTCCTTCCTTCCGTCCTGTCCCTTCCTTCCGTCCCTTCCTTCCGTCCCTTCCTTCCGTCCCTTCCTTCCGTCCCTTCCTTCCGTCCCTTCCTTCCGTCCCTTCCTTCCGTCCCTTCCTTCCGTCCCTTCCCTTCCCTTCCTTCCCTTCCCTTCCCTTCCCTTCCCTTTCCCTTCCCTCCTTCCCTTCCTTCCTTCCTCCCTTCCTTCCTTTCCTTCCTTCCTTCCCTTCCTTCCCTTCCTTCCCTTCCTTCCCTTCCTTCCCTTCCTTCCCTTCCTTCCCTTCCTTCCCTTCCTTCCCTTCCTTCCCTTCCTTCCTTCCCTTCCTTCCTTCCTTCCCTTCCTTCCTTCCTTCCTTCCTTCCTTCCTTCCTACCTCCTACCTCCTACCTACCTACCTATCCTACCTATCCTACCTACCTACCTACCTACCTACCTACCTACCTACCTACCTACCTACCTACCTACCTACCTACCTACCTACCTACCTTCCTCCTTCCTTCCTTCCTTCCCTCTTTCCTACCTACCTACCTTCCCTCTTTCCTACCTTCTTTCCTTCCTTCCTCTCATCTCCTCCTTCCTTTTTTCCTTCCTTCTGGTTTCCTGGGCATTGCTTACAGTCACAAACTCCTCAAAACCATGAAATTCATCATCATTGACACTTCCATCTGTGTTAGAACTGTCACTTGGGAAAATGAGAGTCCCAATTCGCCGGGGAGTGAGAGTTTCTTACCGTGAGGCATGGTAAACAAGGCTTACTAAAATGGCATTCCCACAATGCATTCCACACACACCATGCAGACCCATTCTCTCACATGTAGGCCTACCAACTTTCTCCCACTCGAATTTGAAGGCACTAGAACTTACACATATAAGTACGTGACTGACCCCAGCTGTTATGACGTACATGTACATGACCGACCCTCAAAGGGTTAAAACCCTTGCAAACAGTTGATCAGGGCCTGGGGATTTGTTCGGTTTTTAATTTCTCTATTTGTCTGAGGACATGTGACTAATTACCCTAATTGTGCATAGTTTATTATCATCCTGTTCTATATAATTTATTATTCCTGGAATTTTGCTAGTATCTTCCTGCATAAAAACCGAGAGGAAATAAGAGTTAAAAAAATCACACATTTCCTTATGACTGTCAGTGATCTGACCTGAGTTACTTTTGAGTGGGCCAATCTTGTCACAAATTCTGGGTTAGTCTTTAAATCCCTTGCCACTGTAGCCTCATTATCACTTTTAGCTTTTCTTATTCCCTTTTTTATTTCTCTCTCTAATTGAATATATTGATTTCTTAACTGCCCATCCCCTCTTTTGATTCACTTATATGTGCCTCTCTTTTGACCAGTTAGATTTTTAATCTATTGTTTATCCATTTAGGATCATTTTTGGTTGATCTAATTTCCCTATTTAGAACATAAGTTGTCTGGGCAGCTAGAACTATGCTTTGGAAAACATCATGTTGGCAACCAACACTACCTACCTGACCCATAGTCGGGTTGTTCCAATTTAGCCCACCGAGATAATTTCTCAGTGCCATGAAATCGGCCAAGCTGAAGTCTGGGACAGAGATTTGATTGCAGGTATTTGGGTATTTCCATGATATATTGAAACTAAGTGGTTTGTGATCACTTTCCCCAAGCTCATCATTAACCTCAAGATTATTAATTAGTGATTCCTTGTTGGCAAGAAACAAGTCAAGCAGATGTTTTCCTCTAGTTGGTTCTGTCACAAAACTGTTTTACAAAGCAATCCTCAGTCATATCAAGAAAGTCACTAGACTCAAGATTTCCTGTCATATTGTTCCAATCAATTAGTCTAAAGTTAAAATCTCATATTAACACAACATTTCATATCTACACACCTTATGAATTTTGTCCCATAGCAGCTTACTGTATTCCCTATCAAGATTTGAGGGCCTATAAATCACACCCAGTATAAATTTGTCACGACCCTCGAGAAACTGTAGCCAAACAGATTCTGTATCCGATGCTTCTAATCTTACATCTTGTCTAACACAACAACTTAAATTATCTCTGACATACATTGCCACTTCACCATCTTTCCTATTGACCCTATCAGTGTGGAACAGCTTATAACCTTGTATGTAGCATTCAGAATTCATTTCTCTATCTTTCAGGTTGATCCAGGTCTCAGTTATAGCAATAATATCTATATTACCTGCACATGCAAGTAATCTTACCTCATCTATCTTATTTCTTAGACTTACTATTAGTATAGCAAACCTTAAGGGAGCTGGTCACACTCTGCCCTCTAGTGTCTCTCTTTGTTTGTTGATCAAATGCTTTACCTTTACTAGCAACTTTATTTTGAATATTGTCTATTAAGCATATCCCTGAGGTATCCTGGTAGTATCTGCTATTTTCAACCCCTGTACTGCAGCTTGTTTCCCACACACACTCATAGCTCTATAATCTATTAGTTTTAAGTTCTAGATAAGTCAGCAATGGCTCCCCTCATTTGAGTTGGCTAATGCAAGCACTCTGGCTCCTGATAGATGAACCCCATCCCTTACATACACTCCGGCTCCTGAGAGATGAACCCCATCCCTTGCATACCTGGAGTTTACCTGGAGAGAGTTCCGGGGGTCAACGCCCCCGCGGCCCGTCTGTGACCAGGCCTCCTGGTGGATCAGAGCCTGATCAACCAGGCTGTTGCTGCTGGCTGCACACAAACCAACGTACGAGCCACAGCCCGGCTGATCCAGAACTGACTTTAGGTGCTTGTCCAGTGCCAGCTTGAAGACTGCCAGGGGTCTGTTGGTAATCCCCCTTATGTGTGCTGGGAGGCAGTTGAACAGTCTCGGGCCCCTGACACTTATTGTATGGTCTCTTAACGTGCTAGTGGCACCCCTGCTTTTCATTGGGGGGATGGTGCATCGTCTGCCAAGTCTTTTGCTTTCGTAGTGAGTGATTTTCGTGTGCAAGTTGGTACTAGTCCCTCTAGGATTTTCCAGGTGTATATAATCATGTATCTCTCCCTCCTGCGTTCCAGGGAATACAGGTTTAGGAACCTCAAGCGCTCCCAATAATTGAGGTGTTTTATCTCCGTTATGCGCGCCGTGAAAGTTCTCTGTACATTTTCTAGGTCGGCAATTTCACCTGCCTTGAAAGGTGCTGTTAGTGTGCAGCAATATTCCAGCCTAGAATAGAACAAGTGACCTGAAGAGTGTCATCATGGGCTTGGCCTCCCTAGTTTTGAAGGTTCTCATTATCCATCCTGTCATTTTTCTAGCAGATGCGATTGATACAATGTTATGGTCCTTGAAGGTGAGATCCTCCGACATGATCACTCCCAGGTCTTTGACGTTGGTGTTTTGCTCTATTTTGTGGCCAGAATTTGTTTTGTACTCTGATGAAGATTTAATTTCCTCATGTTTACCATATCTGAGTAATTGAAATTTCTCATATCACATACATATCGCATACATATCACATTTGCCATAAAATTTGTCCCAGTTATCAGTGAATGGGATTGCCAATTCCTTGCAGTACCTGTCTAGCCAGCAATTTACACCAGTTGCCCTAGACATCCATTCATTGCCCACACCCCTTCTGAACAAGATGCTACATATGATTCGGACCCTTCCCTTAGACCTAATTACGTCTATTTCTGATTTGTACTTATCCAGCAACTCTTGTCTCCTGCCCTTCTTGATATCATTTCCACCAGCACTAAGACAGATGATGAGCTTGTTCCCATTACCTGACATAATATATCCAACCTGTTGACTATATCACCAACACCAGCTCCTGGGAAGCACACCCTCTGTCTAACCTTCTTATTTCTGTTACAGAAAGCATGGTTCATATATCTTACCTGCGAGTCATCCACAACGAGAATGTTCCACCATTAACACTTATACCTGTTTAATATGTTTATTAACAATATGTATTTTTAACTGTAATATGGTAATTGTCTATGAATTTTAAAAATGTTTAGGGAGATTAGTGAAGAAATTCTGCAGATTGTCAGAATTTGCAATTTGCAAATTTAGATTGATGGAGCAAAAAAGGCACAATACTGTGACTGAACAATACACAGATAATCCACACCTAGGGGAGGAAGCATATGATGACAATTCAATCCGACCTTGACCATTTACAAAGTTAGTGTGACTGTAAATAGTCCAAGTCGAACTGGAACGTAAGCTTCTCACTGCGATGTGCGATGTGTTGGAGCAACCGTCAAATTTACTTTTGGTTTTGGACATTTAGAGATGGAACAAAATAAAATGACTTGGATTGCGTATAAATCTGTAGTGGAAGACTGTATAGGGTCATCCTAGGACAAGTTGGAGGGGTAAAGGAGGTTTTTGTATGCTAGGAGCTTGGACTTCCAGTGTGTTCAATAAGAGTGAGTGGAGGCAAATGGTTTTTATGACTTGATATGCTGCTGGAGTGTGAGCAAGGTAACATTTACGAAGAAATTCAAGGAAACCTGTTAGCTGGACTTGATTCCTGGAGGTGGGACGTAAGTGCCTGTATTCAGAAGGAGAGGTGGAGATATGTACAGTTTTTTGAACTGCAGTATCAGCATGCCTCTGACAGGACAGTGAAGAAGTGAGTGACAGTGAAATTGTTTATTCTTTTTTGGGTGACCCTACCTCGGTGGGAAAGGGCTGATGTTAAAAAAAAAATTATCAGTAAAAGCTTCATGTTAGAGCCCCTCACAACTGGGAGGGAGTTTTCATTGAAACCATACCCCGACCGGGATTGAACCTGCGGTCAGAGAGTCTCAAAACTCCAGCCCGTCGCCGGGGTATGGTTTGTTTGCAATCGTGTCATTAAGATTTCGTGAGTCAAGTTTTCATTGAGTATACCTTTATACAACCGTTAAGTGGATTCTGGTTGCGTGATGAAGTTAATTCAAATAAAATACACCCCATTCCTTTTGTTATTGGGATGTCCACTAGGTAACATAGCTGTTTGAGCAAGACATTACTGAAACATAATTTTAATGCTTTACTTACACTTGTATGATGTCACTAAGTTAGGAACATTTGTATCTCATTATATTTATCCATAGTGAATTGACAAATGTTTTCTGGGATGTTCTTTTGTTTATCCTCCAGTTACTATCATGTACATTTGCAGCTCTTCAGCAAGAGGTGGCTCTTCAACGTGTACGGCTGAATTATGAAGAGGAAGAAATACCAGTAGAAGCTACACAAGCATGGCATATGCTGCTCTCCAGGCCTTTAGCCAGAATTGACTCAAATATTATTTTAAGTGGTATTAAACAAGGTAAATATTGGTTGTTTTCCAAACCTACCTGCCTACCCCTCCTTCCACTACCATTCTCCTACCACCTACTTCTCTCCCTCACATAGGTATGTTATGGCTTCTTGCCATGTTAATCCCACATGATTCATGAACATGCCTTGACCCACCCACCGCAGAACGTCACCACAGTTCAGCTTATATGACTCACCTGTACCCTGCTAATATTTGCCCATGTTTCTTATGTCCATGTATATTTGGGTGAACAAGACCCCCATGACAAATGTTTCTGTAATACAATATCCAAGTGCTTGCTCTCTTTGTCAATAACTTCTTAATATATACAGTGGACCCTCGGTTATTGTCTGTTACTGTTATCGGCCAACTCGGTTATAGGCCGGTTTTTCAGCTTCCGGTTATCGGCCATTACTTTGCTTATTGGTCGTATGGGACACGTACAACTACCTGCTGGCAGCCGCTCACGTCAGTCTGGCTGTCTCTCTGGGCGAATGAGGAAGCTTCTACTCTTTCATCCAAACATTTCACTATAATCCTTTGTTTTTGGTGGTTATTTTTCAAGTGCAACTGCGAAATAAGTCACCATGGCCCCAAAGAAAGTTCTTTGTAAAGTTCCTTTGGTAAAGAAAGTGAGAAACAATAGAATTTCAAGGCAGGCAGGCATAGAGGCAAGAAGTGTACCAGGCATGCAGGAAGTGTAGAAGGCATGCAGGAAGTGTAGCAGACATGCAGGAAATGTAGCAGACATGCAGGAAGTGTAGCAGCATGCAGGGAGTGTAGCAGGCATGCAGGGAGTGTAGCAGGGATACAGGAAGTGTAGCAGCATGCAGGGAATATAGCAGGCATGCAGGGAGTGTAGCAGGCATGCAGGAAGTGTAGAAGGCATGCTGGGAGTGTAGCAGACATGCAGGAAATGTAGCAGACATGCAGGGAGTGTAGCAGGCATGCAGGAAGTGTAGAAGGCATGCAGGAAATGTAGCAGGCATGCAGGGAGTGTAGCAAGCATGCAGGGAGTGTAGCAAGCATGCAGGAAGTGTAGCAGGCATGCAGGGAGTGTAGCAGGGATACAGGAAGTGTAGCAGCATGCAGGGAGTGTAGCAGGCATGCAGGGAGTGTAGCAGACATGAAGGAAGTATAGCAGACATGCAGGGAGTGTAGCAGACATGCAGGAAGTGTAGCAGGCATGCAGGGAGTGTAGCAGGCATACAGGAAATGTAGCAGGCATACAGGAAATGTAGCAGACATGCAGGGAGTGTAGCAGGCATGCAGGGAGTTTAGGAGGCATGCAGGGAGTGTAGCAGAAATGCAGGGAGTGTAGCAGGCATGCAGGAAGTGTAGCAGGCATGCAGGGAGTGTAGCAGACATGCAGGAAATTTAGCATATATGTAGGAAATGTAGCAGACATGCAGGGAGTGTAGCAGGCATGTAGGGAGTGTAGCAGGCATGCAGGGAGTGTAGCAGACATGCAGGAAGTGTAGCAGACATGCAGGAAGTGTAGCAGACATGCAGGGAGTGTAGCAGACATGCAGGAAGTGTAGCAGATATGCAGGAAGTGTAGCAGACATGCAGGAAATGTAGCAGACATGGAGGGAGTGTAGCAGACATGCAGGGAGTGTAGCAGACATGCAGGAAGTGTAGCAGGCATGCAAGAAGTGTATCAGACATGCAGGGAGAGTAGCAGACATGCAGGGAGTGTAGCAGGCATGCAGGAAGTGTAGCAGGCATGCAGGAAGTGTAGCAGGCATGCAGGAAGTGTAGCAGGCATGCAGGGAGTGTAGCAGGCATGCAGGAAGTGTAGCAGACATGCAGAGAGTGTAGCAGACATGCAGGGAGTGTAGCAGGCATGTAGGAAGGGTAGCAGGCATGCAGGGAGTGTAGCAGGCATGCAGGGAGTGTAGCAGGCATGCAGGGAGTGTAGCAGGCATGTAGGAAGGGTAGCAGGCATGCAGGGAGTGTAGCAGACATGCAGGGAGTGTAGCAGGCATGCAGGAAGTGTAGCATGCATGCAGTTGTTAGGTAAGACACATATGCAACAGTTAGGTATCTTTATTATGAAACGTTTCGCCTACACAGTAGGCTTCTTCAGTCAAGTACAGAAAAGTTGATAGAAGCAGAAGATACTTGAAGACGATGTAATCAGTCCATCACCCTTAAAGTTTTGAGGTGGTCAGTCCCTCAGTCTGGAGAAGATCATTGTTCCATAGTATGAAACAATATGGAGAAGAAGTGACAGGATGGAGCTTTTTATAGCGCCAAGAGGTGAGACGTAGGCCACTAGGTGAGGTAAGAACTCAGATGTTGAGAGGTCAGGTCCCTCTTAAATTTAGCCCCTCTCACTAGTGGAAGTTGTCGAAGTTGATTGCAGGTCTGTACCAAGATACCCTTGTGTTCAGCATGCATGCAGGAAGTGTAGCATGCATGCAGGGAGTGTAGCAGACATGCAGGGAATGTAGCTGACATGCAGGGAGTGTAGCAGACATGCAGGGAGTGTAGCAGGCATACAGGAAATGTAGCAGACATGCAGGGAGTGTAGCAGGCATGCAGGAAGGGTAGCAGGCATGCAGGGAGTGTAGCAGGCATGCAGGGAGTGTAGCAGGCATGCAGGAAGTGTAGCAGACATGCAGGGAGTGTAGCAGGCATGCAGGGAGTGTAGCAGGAATGCAGGGAGTGTAGCAGGCATGCAGGGAGTGTAGCAGAAATGCAGGGAGTGTAGCAGGCATGCAGGAAATGTAGCAGACATGTAGGGAGTGTAGCAGGCATGCAGGGAGTGTAGCAGGAATGCAGGGAGTGTAGCAGAAATGCAGGGAGTATAGCAGACATGCAGGAAGTGTAGCAGGCATGTAGGGAGTGTAGCAGGCATGCAGGAAGTGTAGCAGGCATGCAGGGAGTGTAGTAGACATGCAGGGAGTGTAGCAGGCATGCAGGAAGGGTAGCAGGCATGCAGGAAGTGTAGCAGGCATGCAGGAAGTGTAGCAGGCATGCAGGAAGTGTAGCAGGCATGCAGGGAGTGTAGCAGACATGCAGGAAGTGTAGAAGACATGCAGAGAGTGTAGCAGACATGCAGCGAGTGTAACAGGCTTGCAGGAAGGGTAGCAGGCATGCAGGGAGTGTAGCAGGCATACAGGAAATGTAGCAGACATGCAGGGAGTGTAGCAGGCATGCAGGAAGTGTAGCAGACATGCAGGGAGTGTAGCAGGCATGCAGGGAGTGTAGCAGGAATGCAGGGAGTGTAGCAGGCATGCAGGGAGTGTAGCAGGAATGCAGGGAGTGTAGCAGGCATGCAGGGAGTGTAGCAGACATGCAGGAAGTGTAGTAGGCATGCAGGGAGTGTAGCAGGCATGCAGGAAGTGTAGCAGGCATGCAGGGAGTGTAGCAGACATGCAGGGAGTGTAGCAGGCATGCAGGAAGGGTAGAAGGCATGCAGGAAGTGTAACAGGCATGCAGGAAGTGTAGCAGGCATGCAGGGAGTGTAGCAGACATGCAGGAAGTATAGCAGACATGCAGAGAGTGTAGCAGACATGCAGAGAGTGTAGCAGACATGCAGGGAGTGTAACAGGCATGCAGGAAGGGTAGCAGGCATGCAGGGAGTGTAGCAGGCATGCAGGAAGTGTAGCAGACATGTAGGGAGTGTAGCAGACATGCAGGGAGCATAGCAGGCATACAGGAAATGTAGCAGACATGCAGGGAGTGTAGCAGGCATGCAGGAAGGGTAGCAGGCATGCAGGGAGTGTAGCAGACATGCAGGGAGTGTAGCAGACATGCAGGGATTGTAGCAGACATGAAGGAAGTATAGCAGACATGCAGGAAGTGTAGCAGGCATGCAGGAAGTGTAGCAGGCATGCAGGGGGTGTAGCAGAAATTCAGGGAGTGTAGCAGGCATGCAGGAAGTGTAGCAGGCATGCAGGGAGTGTAGCAGGCATGCAGGAAGTGTAGCAGGCATGCAGGGAGTGTAGCAGACATGCAGGAAGTGTAGCAGACATGCAGGGAGTGTAGCAGGCATGCTACAGTCATCTCTCACTCTAAGACTACAAATATTTTAAAGGGAAGGAAGGCGAGGTAGGGGTCGTCCTCGAAAGGGTTGGAGAGAGGGGGTAAAGGAGGTTTTGTGGGCAAGGGGCTTGGACTTCCAGCAAGCGTGCGTGAGTGTGTTAGATAGGAGTGAATGGAGACGAATGGTACTTGGGGCCTGACGATCCTTTGGAGTGTGAGCAGGGTAATATTTAGTGAAGGGATTCAGGGAAACCGGTTATTTTCATATAGTCGGACTTGAGTCCTGGAAATGGGAAGTACAATGCCTGCACTTTAAAGGAGGGGTTTGGGATATTGGCAGTTTGGAGGGATATGTTGTGTATCTTTATACGTATATGCTTCTAAACTGTTGTATTCTGAGCACCTCTGCAAAAACAGTGATTATGTGTGAGTGTGGTGAAAGTGTTGAATGATGATGAAAGCATTTTCTTTTTGGGGATTTTCTTTCTTTTTTGGGTCACCCTGCCTCGGTGGGAGACGGCCAACTTGTTGAAAAAAAAAAAAAAGTAATGAGTGTACTGTATATGCATTTTATCGCTCTAGGGCACCTTAAATGCCTAGTATATAATGTAATGTTCACTCAAGGGGAAACAATGCCAGTCTGACTCATGACGGCTGTGCAGGGAGGCGCGTGGGCACAGGCAGACAGGTCTGGTACGCGGGACGAAACACGGGGCACAGTGTGAAACTCTGGACAAAATTTAGCTGAAAAAACGGTTCTAAATTCGAAGTGTACGATATTCAGTACGTGCAAAACTTGGGATTCCACTGTACACAATAGTATTACTGGGGAAACTGTAGAAAATTGTTCCTTTCGTATGCCTTCACTTAGAGCGTCATTCCTTCTAAAAATGGTGTGTTACATGAGAATGGGAGTGTAGCTCTTTACTTACTCTACTGTATCAATGTGGAGACAACTTGTACACAATGTAAGGTGTTTGTATTATGGTATAAGCTTCACAGACTTGGAAATAAGT